CCTGCTGAAGAACCTAACGCCACGGGACAGCTGCAGGGTGACGTTTATGTGCAGCGACGCGGTCACCTCAGCCTTCCTGACAGTGAAAGGTAACTGAAGCGCTTGTGTATGGGGAGCTGTACATTTCTGATTGGAAAAGGCAAACAAACCAGGAAAATACAATGAGCAGCAGAGGAAAAGTTGCATTTTGTTCTTAGCTAAATCTTCTACCTACACAATAAACGGACGATGTTTTACATTTTCCATTTTTTCTTGTTCCATATGCCATGACATGGAGAGAAGCAACGTCAGTTGACGATGAGTTAGCAGCAAATGATGGTCTTACATCTGTCATTATTCTGATGAGTTGGGTTGTGTTTATAGGTACTTCAGGGCTCTAAAAATCAGAGTTGTATCAGCAACAATATTACCTCTCTATTGTTGTATTTTTTGCTGTTACCTGAAAACTCCTGTAGGGCTCAGAACCCCTTTCAGCGTACAAGAACAGCAATCTTCGGTCACAGCACGGTATCTCCATTGTGGTTTTCTGCTATCTGGGAAAGGCAGACATTGCTAGGTTGTTTTTTGCACCTGAAAATATTGGAAAGTTTCAGTCCCATTGATACCTTCTGTTCCAATGATATACATAACCTCCTTTTCAATGATCTCCTTGGTCTCTGAGGCCTGACTATCCAAAGCCTCAACAAAAATATTCACAAAATCTCTTGTCTGTATTTATTTTTCTGTAACTTGGGGCTTGAATTATTTTTATCTATTTTTATCTACAGGATGGCGCCTGCAGATCTTGCAGCCTCTCACCGACGTGGAAGTGTCTTTGGGGGAGAAAGCCACATTTAGCTGTGTTCTAAGCGAAGCCGTGCCGATGAATGAAGTTGCCTGGTACAGCAATGACATAGAGATCCAGCCGGATGAGGACTGGGAGCTACAGGCAGATGGAAACAAATACAAACTCATTCTGAAAAAAGCCCAGCCGCATCATTCTGGAGAGGTGACCTTTGCTTCCAGGGAAGCAATTGCATCAGCCAAGCTGTCTGTTTTAGGTAAGTGCTTGCCGTTCTGGCCCAGTGGCACTTGAAATCTCAGACTTTGGTATTGAGTTACACCACTGAATTGTCTAATCTTTATGCTGATTCTTTTCTTTTTGCCTTGCATTTCCCAAGCTAATGCTCTTAGTCTGAGAAGATGCTGCTGGGCAATTTGCTCTTTCACCAGAAGCCTCATGAGAAGAAAATTATATCAGGCTAGAGATGGTAGAAATGTCCACCAGCTTTCTTTAGCTGCAGTCTTTTGTAAAATGTAACATAGTAATGGAAATCAATTTAAACAGAGTTCAACATTACCTGCAGCAAACAAGGACATGGGAGGGAGCTGAACCAGAGTGCACATGGAAAAATTATCTGAACCAGCAGAGAATGCTTTTAAACCTGCTAATCTACTTGAGCACAGGGCAATCAGTTTTTCCAGATTAAGGAGTCACACATTAAAATCTTTATGTGTATGAGATGCTTGAGATGCACACCTTGTACCTCAGAGCTACAGGAGTTCATAGCTCTTGGAGTACATTGCAAGTAGAAAAGATGATAGTTGCCCAATTCCCTCATGGGACAGGTTAGATCAATGACCCATTGATGTCTGTCCCAACATTCAAGGTTTTGCTCCATCCCACAATGGGATAGGTGAGTCACCCAGCAATGGTCACACCAGGACAATCCCAGTGATGGTGATGAGATAATAGCAAAGAGTTTTAGCTGTACATTGTGCTTGAGATGTTAGAGAGCCACTGATTGACCATCCCTGCTTTAAATTATTGTAGATAGTCTGTCTGCCTTACTGGCCTTTAATTTGTTGGATGGGTGCATTGTGGCAGGTCATTTACTTGGTAAATATCTTGAAGACTAAAAGAATTGTTTCTGTCTTCTAAGCCAAAGTGTGAATTAGATGAGGGACATCTTCCAGTGCACTGAGTGTGACTGTCTGCTAGGACACTGCTCCATTCCTATTATGTATTTCCCTGTTATTGCCTGATGCCATGACATATGTAGCAATTACACAGAAATCAAGTCACTTGCTATTAATTTACTAGTTTAAAATTAAATTACTAGAATTACTCTGTAGCCCAACAGTAAATTGATTTCCATTAAGTCCAGACTTGAAATAAATATGATCAAAGCCCAAATGTGCTTCAGGTTTTCAGCTAAGTTCCTTGATAATATGGACAGCATAGGATCATCTTCATTTTGAGCTGGGTGAGACAAAGCAGCAGGAAAAAATCAAAACAATATATGATATTAAGTATGTGAGATGACAGTTGGAAAAAGAATGTCTTTCATTAGCAATGTAGACCAGGGCAAAGGATAACCCGGTGGTACCCAGGTATGTCTCATGGACATGGACATGTACCCTCTCAGCTTTACAATAAGGCAAATACTCAACCTGTTGTGCTTCCTTCTCATTGTCTGTAGAAGGCTCTTTATTGTTTTAGTATAAAGCATTACTGCTCATGTCATACATCACGGGACCTCTGTTGTGCCTCCAGCCCACCCGGATCCACCTGAAGAACCAGAAGTTTTAAGTAAGAGCAGTCACTCTGTAACTCTGTCTTGGTACAAGCCGTTGAGCGACGGCGGCTGTGACATCCTAGGCTACAACGTGGAGAGGAAAATTCCAGGTGTTGGCTGGCAGTCATGCAGCAAGGGCATTATCCAAAACATGGAGTTCACGGTGGATGATCTCACCCCGGGTGAGCCCTACAGGTTCCGGGTTTCAGCAGTGAACAAAGTTGGGGCCAGCGAGCCGGTGCACTTCCCTCAGATGGTGCGGCTAGGTGAGAAAGGAGAGATGTCGCCATGGAGGACTGCCAGCTGCTGTAGACTTGTGTTTGGCATGGCATGCCCGCTTCACCCCATCTCCTGGAAGAGTTCACTCCGCAACATCTTTCAGTGCTTTGCTGCCCACGCAATAGAGGAGAAAGAGCTTGGACAAATTGTTCTGGGCTGCCGCAAACAGCGCCTGCTGCGTTGTTGGCACTCAACACTTATTTTCTCCAAACTGCATTGAGCTGTCTTGCAGCCTGCACTGCATCCATGTGTTGCTCAGTCACCATAAGTTTCTTCTCTGGTGAGAAGAATGAGTCAGAAGGGGCATGTTGGAATGCATTTGGGGTAACCAAGACCCTGGTGCCAATGCAGTGGGTGGGCAACGTGGTCTTCTTCACCCATCTTTCTCTTTCGTTATATTATTTGCTTATCTTTTTCAATAACCCCCACAAGGAAATGCTGGAAGATACACTTCCTCTGTGTCTGTTGGTGAAGCTTTGGAAGCTACAGTGGGATGGAGAGCCACTCCACCAATCTTTCTTTTCTTGCAACTCTTTCTGTGATAGCTGAGTGCCCAACAAATTCCTCAAAGTGAGAAGAATAATACAAAAAAAAAAAATCCTCTTTTGCTTAAGGCTCAGGCACACAATGATGTTTTTGCAACATAACAACTGCAGTGCTTGATAAATCTGCATTTTAACAAGCCTAAGGTGTTTCGGGCAGTGGTGCCCTCACCCTGGTGAAATGCGCAGAGGGGCAGATCACACTCAGGAGTGTGCTGACTTCAGGAACTCGGGTGCTTTACAGCCCAGTCAACATCTCTGGGTTTAATGAATTTGTCCTGACTTCATTTTGAGTACCACTGCCATACCAACAGCACATCATTGGCAGGCTTCCTTCCAAAGCAAAGAAGATACAGAGACTTTTGTTTTTAATTCTTTGGTTTTTGAGAATTTTAAAATTCTTCCTAAACCAGTGTAAATACATATATTTTTTTTCCTTTTTTTTTCTTTCAAGACTGGGATGAATGCTACTTTTAATCATCTCTTTTCTTTTCTATTGTTTCTATTGTTTCTTTCTTGTCTTACCTCAGAACTTCTTCACTTCTAAGCATTAAGATCTGCTAGAATCTGTAGCACTGCTTGAATACTGGTGATGGGTAAATGAAGATCAGCAAATAAACACAGGAATGTGAAAAATGCAACCAGTTTTGCATGTATATATTTAAGTGGAGCTAGTTTAACCTCTGGGAGAGCTTGTACAGTTATTTTGGTATTATCTTTTGAAGTACAAACTTCAGATGCCTTCAGTGATTTATTTTATTCCTTTGGTTGTCTACAACAGCCAAAGCATCTATAAATGAAGGATGGGATGCTCGGATACTTTATAGAGTGATCTGGGGTGGTTAAAGCCAGATTACAGTATGTTCTTTATGTTAATTCAGGTTTTTGTCATTACAGAGCCTTCAGTGACAGTCACTCATCCTTTGGTGGGAGGATCAGTCTCAGAAGGGGAGGTGGCTCGCTTGGAGTGCAGATTATCAAGTGAAACCGAAGAGAGAGTGACATGGTTCAAAGGAAAAGAACAAATACAAGCTGGAGGGAGATATGAAATCCTCTCTGATGGAAAAAAGCAGATACTCATCATCCATTCCTTTAAACCTGAAGATCAAGGCACATACACCTGCATGGTTTCTCCAGAAGTCAAATCTGTTGCCAGCTTGTGTCTTGAAGGTACAGAGAGTACATGTTATGTTAAATCACTTCTGTTTATGGACATCCAGGGGCAGCACCACAGCTTGGACTGGAATTAATTTTCCTTTACAAGCTGTGTCTAAAATTCACAAAGAATTGTTATTTTCCTGTTCAGTATTGACCAGTAAGTGGAGATCTATTAATGAAAGTCAGCAAAGCCCTATCTAGCTGTAAAATAGGATGAGCTTGAATGATCTTCCAGGCTCCACTGAAGGTCTTAACTAGATATTCATCAACTGCACATTTAAAAAGGACATAAATTTATTTATTGTGTTTAAATATGTGAGGAATAAGAAAACCAAACTGTTGTTTGTCCATGTTTTAAGTGCATGCATAGAATCACAAGATGGAAAGGACTTCTGAAGTTAGTGTAGTCCAGCCCCCTGCTCAAAGCAGGGTCACCTAGAACAGGTTGCCCAGGACCATTTCTACTTATATTCAACCCACATTTTGTTCTCCACAGAATGCTTGGTTAAATGCCACTGACACTTTTCTGCCCAGGCTTTAGAATAACACTTCCACGTGCTTTCTCAGAGCTTACTCACAGGCTTTGACTTTTAACGACTTACCAATTTAATTCTCCTCAGTTAACACAGCAACAATGCTGAAAGAGATGGCCAGGGAAACACCCCCTGCAAGCCAACCAGAAGAGCTGGTGGATGGCCATGTCCAGCCCAGCTTGCCCCCTGAGGCTGCGCAGGAGGGCGATCTTCACCTCCTATGGGAAGCTCTAGCCAAGAAACGCCGGATGAGCCGAGAGCCCACCCTGGATTCCATCAGCGAGGTGCCTGAAGAGGACGAGAAGCTTCAGAAGTTGAGGAAGGAGGAGGCAGAGATGTCTCACTATTACTCAGAGGAGTACTCCACGTGCGATGAGCTGGCTAGGACAGGGGAAGCAGATTTCTCTTTCACAAGCTCTGATGATGAGTCTAGAGCTGGGACTCCTTCACTGGTGAACTACCTCAAGAAAGCTGGGAAGAAAAGCGTCAGTGTTACTAGCAAGGTTCAGTCCACCTCCACAGGCAAATTATGGAAACAGTGGGAGACATCCAGCGTGGAGACTGTTGTGGCTGCTCCAGGTGCCAAGCCAGATGAACCAGAAATGCCCGATTTAGATGATCCTTCCATGAACAAGGCTGCTGTGAAGATCCAGGCTGCTTTCAAAGGCTACAAAGTCAGGAAAGAGATCAAGCAACAAGAGTGTCCGGTGTTTGCTGAGACCTTCAAAGACTTCTCTGGGGAGCCTGGGAGCACTCTGCATCTGGAGTGCGTGGCCCACAGCAAGACTGACATGAAGGTCCGTTGGTTGAAAGATGGGCAAGAGCTTTCAGATGGTCGCTATTATCACATAGACAACTACAGCGATGGGACCTGCTCTTTGATTATCACTGGTCTGGATAGGAAAGATGCTGGCAAATACACCTGTGAGGCATCCAATAAATTTGGGAAGGTTTCACACAGTGCTAAGGTGGTTATTGGCGCTGAAGAACCTCAAGTCCTTCATAAGGAGAAGCAGGTTAAACCAAGCACTGACAGTGAGACAGAGAGCTCATCTGGCAGTGATCTGGATGACGCTTTCCGTAAAGCAGGAAGGAGACTTCATAGACTCTTCAGGGCCAAGATCTCGACAGAGATATCTGATGTGGAGGAAGAGCTCTTTGTCAGTGCAGATGAAGGGGACGTAGAGGTGGTCGACCATCAGACGTATCGTGAGGATGACCAGTACATCTACATCAAGTTTGAAATCTTGGCCGAGGCAAAAAGTGCCGCCACTCGATTCCGAGAGATGTTTGGTGCTCTGGGAATTCCTGTGGAGATTGACATTTTGGAGCAAGGCCCTAAAAAAATTGAATTGCGTATTGGGAAAGCCACACCACCCACCCTTGGGAAGTTTGCGCCACCAGTGGTGAGACCTCCACCGCCTTTGCTGACTTCTGATACAGGTGGGTGAAACAAACTTATTTATTCCTTGGAAAAGACAGCTGGAGCAGGTCAGAATGTTATCCTTTTACTCATTAGTAACTTATGAAAAACCCTTTGTTTGTCATTTGGTGGAAATATTTTCCTGGAAATTTTGCACTGTTGGAAAACCAGATTAAGTTCTTATTCTTTTTCATTTTGAGAGAGAGGAGGAAGGTTAATGATGAAGGAGGAGGTTGCAAAGTGTTGAGTTATCTACAAAGCTGCTTTTCACAATAGAAATGCCCTCTACTACAATAATATGGCCATAAATGCATGATTATTATACCTAAATCAATGAAACAGTTTTCAGAACAGTCCTGGGGGAGAAAAGACATTTTGTCAAGGAGAGGAGCAAAGGCACTGTATAGTTTGCTCTGTGGTACTGCAGTGATTATGGTTTTAAGGAATATCTTCATACTGTTTGTTAAGGAGTTTCTTCTTGACTGTTGTCATGGAGAAAAGATATCGCTCTGCAATTAAAAACCTATAAGCCAGAAGTTTCCAGGCACTAGGCAGCAGTGCTCTTAAAGTACATCTTTCAACACAACCAAGTTTTTCCTTTCTTCAAACTACCCTGATTTAGCTCCCATGTTTCTGACCGAGCTCCAAAACCAAGAGGTGCAAGATGGGTATCCAGTCAGCTTTGACTGCATGGTCGTTGGCAAACCGCTCCCCACGGTTCGCTGGTTCAAGGATGGGAAAGCTATTGAAGAAAACGATCATTACATGATCAACGAGGACCAGGAAGGGTGCCACCAGCTGATCATCACGGCCGTGGTCCCCACTGACATGGGAGTTTACCGCTGCCTCGCTGAAAACAACATGGGAGTCGCTTCGACCAAGGCTGAGCTTCGCGTGGACTGTAAGTCTCAAAGTCACTGTAGTAAAACCAAAGGGAAGGGGTCCTCCTCAGAGGTGGATGAATATTTTCAAGAAAAACACTGTTTACTTTTAAAAATGCGTACATTGCCCACTGAATGTTTCACTTGCAAACCTCTTGGGTTCGTTTGGATTTTGCCAGCACCAAGGCAAGGCGCAGAGCAAAGCTTGTCAAATCAGCAGAGGTATTTTCCAGAATCCAGGGCCATGTAGGACACTGCTGCAGTATCAGTGTGAAATTGAACTGCCAGTCACTCAGATTAGTAGGAAAACTATAGTAAGAAAAGCAGCTTCAAAGCTCATATCATAGAAAACACTCCCTTTTCCATTTAACAGTGACCAGCACCGACTATGAGACAGCAGCGGATGCCACAGAGACATCCTCTTACTACAGTGCCAAAGGTTATATCTCAAGGTAAAACAGCAAACTCCAGCTCTAACTTCTGACTTGAAAAGATCAATATGTATATTTATTATATCATGTATATTTATTTCTATCAAGCCTGGTTTTGCTATATGTGGCAGGGCCAGTTTAATGTCAGAAAGGAACAGCTGGACATTTATCATGCCCAAATGTTCTCTGACTGCCTTCAGGCTCCCCTGGGTATTTCCTCACAGTATCACTCCCTCACTTTTAATGACATATAATGTTGAATCTGCTGTCATGATGGCAAAACCCACAGACTGAATTAACCTAAAATAGTCAATTCTGATTCCTAACTCTTTTGTGGTTTGTTGACTTTCTTCTTTCTAATCCTGACTGCTTCTTAGCCGAGAACAGGAGGAATCTATGACAGAGGAGGAGCAATTGCCCCAGATCTTCGACGAGCTTCATGATATTCATGTGGCACCTGGAGCATCGCTGGCGAAGTTTCACCTGAAGGTGAAAGGTGAGGAGAGCATTCTCTGAGCATATTTGTTATGGAGAAGCAATAAGGAATAAAAAGAGATAGTTGTAGTGTCCTTTGTTGTCTTTATTAAATGAAGCAGTCCTGGACTTGCCTTACTGTATGAGTGGGTCGCTGCTACACTGCTAAAACCTCCATTCTGGTGTTGTCTGTCTATGGCAAGGAGAGGTAGGGATCCTCTTGGTTTTTTTCTGATTGCTGCCCGTAAAAACAATGAGAACTATTTTAGCTTCAGTGGTTTTGGAGCTGGTATTGAAACTGTGGTATAAGCTGGGCTGACTTTGGCCCACATTTTTCTTCACTAATAATTTGAGCTTTTGTTTTTGTGTATGTTGAAAATCCGACCCAAACCTCACCTTCCCAACCTGGAAGGTATTTGGGTATGCAGCCAATATGGGCAGTGCCAGAAACTGAAGAGACGGGACAGAATTTCAGCAATTAAATAGAATTTCATGAATTTGCAGCCACAACTCCTTGAAACAGCAGCCCTGGGCAGAGCTGAGGATTCCTTGACTGCTCAGAAGGCTCTGCTTCATTGGAGAGGGTCCCAAATCGATGTCGCTAATGCATTTTGTTCTCCATGTCTGTAACTGCTCCTCTCAGGGTACCCGCAGCCTCGCCTTTACTGGTTCAAAGATGGGCAGCCGTTAAAGCCCTCGGATCGCATCCTGAAGACCGATAAACGGGAATTCCACTCGCTGGAGATTCGTGATGTCACCAAGGCAGATGCTGGCCAGTACTCAATATTTGTCATCAACTCTGCTGGCTCTGCGTATTCATCGGCCAGGCTGGTAGTCAAAGGTAAGTATTGCACTATTTCTGGCACCTGATTTACTCTGTTCCAGTGACTCTGCATTTTATAGATTTATTTTCCTTGAGAAAGCCTACCAAGGTAAGTCAAGGGAGGTGGGGAAGTCTGTAGATAAAAATTACTTGCTTTAATCTTGATTCACATATAAATTTACTGTGTCCTAAAGATGAGATATGTCACTTCTCTGGGATTTGACTGTTGTCTCACAAACATACATTTTATTTACATTTTATTCCTGCCCAACCTCACTTTAATGATTCATTTTATTAGAACTGAGGGCCTCTTATAAATCATACTCATATTTCTGTGCAATATCTCCTGCAAGAGGGTAATCTCCTGGGATAATTTTTATTTTTCTTCAACTCATGGACAGAAAGGTATTCGTATTTGCCATTGTGTTTGTTCTCCTTGTGTTACAGATCCTGATGAGAAAGAAGAGCCATCAGAAAGAGGTGAGGGAAGCCATAGCAGGTGATAACAGAACCCCTAGGAATTTTTCGGTTGTCTGAACTCACACAGAAGGTGTCACCATGTTTCATCAATTATGTCCTTTTCAGATTCTCAGGAGCAGCTGATACCACCAAGGTTCCTAGAAAGATTTACTAATAAAAAGGTGAAGAAAGGCGCAAGCATCACATTATCTGTAAAAGTTGAAGGTGAGTGGATAGACACCTTGCTTCTCTGCATAAGTCTTGGATTGCACAATTTTGTGATACATGCTGAGCTCTCTCTGGCCCAAGCCTTTGTAACCTCATCTCCTGCACTTGATGTCTGGGACTCTACTCCCAGCTTTGTAAAAGACTCTGTGTGCTTTACAGCGGAGCATCTGCCCCATCTTCACCTCCATTTGCCTGTATGCTAAAAAGGAGTTAATAACACTTGTTAGTCTTATGAAGATGTGTTGAACAACAGAATAGGTTTTACAAAAGGATTTAATATCCTTATATCTGCACCATAATAATGCTTATGTTCCTTTATTATCTATTATGCCGGTTATTGTTGGAAAAGTATCAGGAAACAAATCGAAACAGCATTAATTCACAGCGTGGCTCATAATTATAAGGAAGGAACACCATTAGGAAAACTAATGCTCATTGCTTTGTTTATCCTTTAGGACATCCACCACCAGCGATTACTTGGCTGAAAGAAGAGTCTCGGGAAGATATCCTGTGGATCAAACCAGACACTCCTGGCTATAAACTTGCCAGTTCAAATATGCATCACAGTCTAATCCTGCTGGATGTTAAAAAGAAGTACAGCGGAGCTTACACGTGCATTGCTACCAACAAGGCTGGCCAGTCCATCTGCACCGCCACCGTGGAAGTTGCAGATGGTAAATCTTACAATACAAACACGTTCTCTATGTTACCTTTTATGAAGTGCCTAAGAGAAAAGCAAGTGTGACTCATAAGGAAATAAATCATAGCTGGAAAAAAATGCCTTTCCCTAAGATTGACCATGAATTTACTTGCCTTACAAATGTTTACATTCTTTACTTCTATGTTTGATTTCTGACCCTAGGTAGAATTAACAGCAGCATCTTTTCTGTGCAAACAGAAAACAGCTCTAAGAATCAATCAAATTAAGCACAAAGGGAAAAAAGGAAGAAAGGCAATGTAAAGTAACTAGAAAAGGTCACCATTTGAATAATTATTTTGAGTGCTTCATTCTGCTGACGTATTTTGTAGTGTAGAATTGCCTTAAGGCAGCTGGCGTTATTTGATTCCCCTTTTGCAGAGCTTTCCAGGGCCTCTCCTGGAACAATTCCTTCAGCAAGGTGGGGAACAAGCAAATGCAAGCTGGGAGTAGGGGCAGCACTGTGAAGCACTCCATTCTTCTGTTATCCTTCCTTGCATGCACTAAGAGCTACAGGAGCATAGCTTAAGCAGTGCAGAGAAATGGGCAACCATATGTGTACGTGTACTGGGAAAGGAGCAAACTATTTGCATTGTATGAGTGGGAGTGTGCAACCCAGATCAGGAGCTGCTAACCGGGCAGATTCAGTATTCCAATATTCCCAGTAATCCGTGTCTAGAAAATGTGCTTACATTCAACACCTAAAAAGAACATGCTCTGCCTTCTGTCCTCTAATGCTAAACCCTAATCTTGCAGTGAAAGAGGCTGAAGTTCTGACCCAGGAACGAGTGATGGTGTCCGAAGCCATCATGACCACACTGGGGTAAGTGGTTGGCTGAAGTGGAGCAGTGCAGGTACCACCCTGCCGAAGTTCCCATGAGTCACTTTTAGACAGTGTTCCCTTTGAACATCTTATAGTGGGGGTTGGACTCGATGATCTTTAAGGTCCCTTCCAACCCAAACCATTCTGTATTCATGTCTCAGCACCAGATTTAAAATAGGTTGAGGTCCTAGGATGGAAAGTGCTATAAATACTTATATACTTACATTGTATATATAAATACACAGCCATTTATGTTTGATTATCAGGAAGGATAGGAACAAGGACAAAAGAAAAAAAAAGGGTAGGTCATATAAAACTCTTGCTACTTTTTCATCTCCTTGTGAATGCCAAAAAAATTCACAAGTCGAGGCCTGACTGTTACTTGCCAACACTGAAATACACTGATGCTTCACAGAAAAAGTAGTAGGTGAAAAGGCTCTGCTCACAAACTTCTTGTTGATAAATGCATCTCAAGAATGACCTCCTCAATTAGCCTTTCTTGGCTCGGATATTAGACAGATACAGTCTGAGAAGTGGTATCCACCTGAACACGCGTTAGATTCTAAAATATGTCCAGCCTAAAGGGCTTGACTGGTCTTGCTCTGAAGTGTGAAGAAAGTGAAGAAAGCTGCAGTGTGAATTCTGTTGTTCCACTGCAACCTTTCCCAAGGATGTTCCCAGGCTCTTTTAGGCAAAATTAGTGTACAGTTTATATATGTATAATGTATAGTTTATTATATATCAAGTGGAGTAAGCTTCCCTTTTCTTCCTATGTACTAATAGACAATTAGGGCAGATGAACTTACACAGTGAAATTTTATATCCTGCCTCCGAAAAGTGCAGGAATAGCAGAGATGTTGACTCCAGGACATCAGAGCTGTAGTCATGGGAAACACCACAAGCACTTTTCATCTGATGCAAGCAAATGCTGGTAGTCCTTCACATCTGTGAAGCCACCTTCTCTCTGTGTTGACAACATAGTCTCCTGCCCCTTTCCTGCTAGCGTGAATGAATTTGGTGCTGCTGATGTAACAAGGATCTCTCTGGACCTCAAAACCACTGCAGTGCAAGTAGTTGGTTTGCTTCCCCAAAACAGGGGCATCCTGATGTGATGGGAGCAGCTCTCTTGGTAGGACCCAACCCACTCCCTGAGCAGCCAGGTCTTCTCAAGCAACACTTTGAAATAAAAAGCAGGAATAAGGAGAATTCTCAGGTGGGATTTGGTTCAAAGACTGACACCCAAGTGCTGCTGTGCCCATATGAGCCAGCTGCCCCAACTCTCATTTCTTATAGTGGCCCTGGTGATTATCAGCTACCAGCTCTTGCGGTCCAAACCAGATCCTAACTTAGATATTCCCAGACTTCACATACATAGGAAGGTTTCTGATTTAGCTCTCTTCACTATACATTTTATTTGAAATTTAAACTCTGCTTTACTCTTTCCTTTTCAGAGCTATTCATCCCTCTGAAACAAGGGAAGGTAAGAGAAGCTACTTTCTCTCTCCTACTCCTGCCCTTCACCTCTACAGCTGAGATTGTCTGTGTATTTCATGATTACCACCTATTTTAGTCCTGTTTTTCTTGAAACTGTCTCAAATATTGGAACTTTTCAAGACTGGTCTCTGTTCAAGGGTGTGAATGTTTTGGATGAAATGTGAGCAAGCAGAGTTTTAAAATCAGAGGAAGTGAAGAAAATGAGACCTTCCTTCCTCAGAACATTTTGTTACTCAGAAAAGATGACTTTCCAGTGACATTGCCTGCTTAACAGAAAATCCTCTGTTTTCCAGGAGACCTTGAAGCTCGTAGAGAAGGTGTACCCAAAAGCCCTATTTCATTAGCTGATGTTGGCTCAGAAGAGTTCTTCCAGAAACTCACTTCCCGTATCTCAGAAATGGTATCTGCAAAAATAAGTCAGGGTAAGGAACCTGGCAAACACAATTTAAATCAAATTAATTTGATTTAAATATGTGATTTATTATTTTTATTTAGGTATAACTTGGACTTTAAATATCAGTGAGATTTATGAAGCAGGGTTTGAGACAGTCATCTTTCATAAGGATATCAACATTTGTAAATGCTGAGGGCTAAGAATATTTAATAAGAGCCCATCCAAGCTTAGTCTACAGTTCTGAACTAGGAAAAAAAGCTGTTACAGTAAACTAAGATCACTAAATGTCCATTTTATGCATACAGTGTTTATTTAAATCAGCAGAAGGAGCTGTAAGCTTCAGAGTGCAGAGCAAGTTGTAAAGCGTATTTTGAACATCTTAACTATTTCAAGTTCCTCAGATATTCATCACTCCTGAGTCCTGTTCTGAAGACTTCCCACATCCTCAAGTTTTAGCTCGCAGTGGGATTTTTAAATTCAAGTTAGGCTGAAAACTGTGTGCGCAGCTGTGTAGTAATCAATGATTTGTTGAAGTAAATGAAAAAATCTGGTGTATGTATCATATACTGATACTTTGAAGCAAAAATAGAGGCATTACCTCTCCTACAAATATCCTTGCAGTGCAGTGGTAGTACATGCAGCAGGCATGCAACCTCATGTACTGAAATGTCCCAACTATTTATTTAATCCTAAATATTATTAGGAGATAATACACTAGCATGAAATACTACAAGAATTCTTCCTAGGGTGTATTTGTTTTTATGAAATTGAAAATTATTATGGATTTGGTGCAGGTGCAGATTGGAGCTCTTTATTTCACACTTTGCTGTTGCTCTGCTTTTTTAGCTACGCTTCGAGTGCCTGGTGCAGAAAGTGATGACGAATCAAAAACTCCCTCTGCATCTCCTCGCCATGGGCGATCCAGACCTTCATCCATTGCTCAGGAGTCCTCCTCTGAATCCGAAGATGGGGATTCCAGAGGAGAGGTATGATATCCTTATGGACAAATTTAACACAAGGAGAAGACTTCGAATAACCAATTTCCTATAGTTTAAGGATCTCCATACCCTTTAGGGATGCACTTTGTTTTAGTGGGTATATTTAGTAGTTAAATACTGGGTCTGAGGTACAGAGCACAGAGAGTCAGATTCAGATGCTCACTGGGTGATCTTGAACGAATTGCTCAAGTCAATGTGGTCAGAATATATCCATTAATTGGCATCTTTCATTTTCATAGCTGAGCTTCAGAAAATCAGAGCTTGATTTTCCATGGCCTTGGATGGAGTTGACCAGAAGAATTTTTTTGAGTTCTTCATGTGAAAAAAAAAGAGAATTTTGTGAAAATTACAAATTGGAAAATGTTGGGTGTCTATTTCAAACACTTCCTTAAGAGATTTAATTAAAACTTTGGAAATGTTAACCTATATTGACATTTTCAGGACCACTGTTTGTTTTGCCTTGGGAGAAAAATCCACTGTTCATGGTGCAAATCAAGAACACCTCAGGTAGTGTTGAAAATATGACCTGAGCCTCCCAGAGACTTAGAGTTCAACTTGTGAAACACAAAGAGCGATTCTCCTTGCTGTACAGGGGCTGGAGAACAACACAGATAAACTCTTATGTTCTGCTGCTGTTACTATATTCTATTTTCAGAGCACAAAATAACTGTATTTTCATGCCTGCAGATCTTTGACGTCTACATGGTCACAGCTGACTACGTGCCCGCCTCACCAGACAGGGAGACCATCACTTTGAAGGAAGGCCAATACGTGGAAGTCCTTGATTCAGCTCATCCTCTGAGATGGTTGGTCAGGACTAAACCCACAAAATCCAGCCCCTCTCGACAGGGTTGGGTATCTCCCGCTTATCTGGACAAGAAATTAAAGGTGACCCATCATGCTGTGTTTATTTTTCATGTAAGATTACTTGGTCCGATGGCAGTTTAGAGCCATCCCTTTTGCAAGGAGTGATGGATGATGCAATTGTTGAAGGGGTCTGTAACAGGATTGGACTTCTTCATGTTTTGATCAGACATTATTTCTGTATGTGTGCAGAGGTACCTGGGTTTGAAAACCTAATCATCCTCTGGCAAATAAAAGAAATTTCACACTGATTTAGGAATTGTTGAAAGGGGCTGTGAACACAGGGGGGAAATTCCTCAGTGTGCACTGGTAACTTAAAAGAATAATTCTTTTTTCTTGTATCTTAGTTGTCACCAGAGTGGGGAACAACAGAAGTTCCTGACTTCCCTGGAGAGTTTGTTTCTGAAGATGAATATAAAAGGAAGCTGAGGTGAGTTTGTACCATTTGGTACTTGTACCTTTGGGTTTTCATGCCTTTTGAGCTAATACGAGTGTTGGCCTCTAGATCCCTCTGGTCAGAGTCACTGGTTTTGTTCTGCTGAGTCCTGCCACCTCCCCTTTCCCAGAATCTAACAGAACTTTGATTCTCTCAGACCTGTAATTTGTGTTCAATTAGTTTTTGCCACTGATTTCAGCCTAGGAAAATTCCAGGCAGTCTAAATCATATCAGATAACTTGAAAGGATGGTCTTACACGTTGTAATTGTGGAGAGTCTCTGATTTCACGAAATCCTAACCTACAGTACCTCTGTGCTTTGGGGTGCCCTATATCTGAGGATGATGCCTAAAGACTGAGTGAGAGCACTCAACCTTGTGTTGCTCCCTTGCAGTACAGCAGACCACTGAGTGTGTGTTTATGGAGATACTTCCTTTCTTGATTGCATAAATGCTATTGAAGTTGCTACTCTCTACTTTACATAGATCCTTTTGTTGCTCACGCTCTGTTTTATCTGCCCTAACAGTAGATGCCTGTAAGGTGGATGTAGGGGTCACTCCATGAGGAGGGTGTCCAAGTTCTGTTTATGGTCAGAGAGGATCAGCACACTCCAGAGAGTCTGTTCCTCAGATCATATCTCTCTACTTTAGAGCCTGAAAATCTCTCAGCATGTCAAGGATAACTGTGATGATTTTTCTGTGATTTCTTTTTGCCTATTCGTCTTCCTTTCAGTGTTCTCATTCAAGAGCTGTTGCTTTCAGAAGAGGATTACATTCAAGATCTTCAGTTCCTCCAGACTCATCACCTTAAGTACACTGAGACCTGTCCCAATGTCCCAGGAGCCATCGCCAGTCAGAAATCCACCATCTTCAGAAATATCGATGACATTGCTCGCTTCCATTCCAGGTGGGCATCCCCACATATCTTCATTCGGGACCAAAGAGTGGCTCACATACCTGGTGTCAAAGCCACAGTAACCATTAATCCTGGGAAGGACGTGGAGCATTGGTTGTGCTAAGGTGCAAGGGAATTGATGGTCCTTTTGGGATGAGAGATGATGGTACAGCCTAAGTCAGAGCATAGGGTTGGGTTTCCCGTAATACACTTCAGAGCTTCAAGGCTTCATAAATCCAGCTTATTTCTTACCCTTTTAAGCAAATTTAATTGAGAAACAGTGAATTATTATAAAAAGGCATAGAGACACACAATTATCTAAAACTGATGCCTGCATCCATGTATTCATTTAAAATGCACCCAGCTGCTCAGGTACAACACCATGGCACAAACCCTCTGTCTACTCCAAGCAAGGACTTACTGCAGATCTGCTGTTCACAGAGCTGAATTACTTTTGCTTTCCAAGGAGAGGAAGTGTTGTACAACGTCTTGTGAGCCTTGGGCTTTCCATTACTAAGGGGCTTCCTTTTGCACCTTGATAGCCTTGCTCTCATAGGAAAGGATCATTCTCATGGGAAGTACCTGCCAACAGAATGAGAATCACCCTTTCTTCCCCATTTTTCTACCCTGTGGTCCTAAATTTTGGGTTGCCCTAGGTAGGGGTCAATGATACGCACACACAAAGCTCAGCAGCCAGTGAGCATGCAGTGTCTTCCCTGATCAACACGTTCTTTCATCAGAACTAGCAGCATTGTAAGCAGAAGCAATGAATAAAGAGTTCGAGCAAGTTGCAATGAGAAGTATATGGTTACTCTGGGAAAAGCACTGTGGGTGGCACTGCTTCTGCAATGAAGAAGACACTTACATGGGACATCTTGCAATTTTCCTGGCTGGGCCACATGAATGGATTTCCCTTCTCTTTCCTTCTTCTCTTTCTTCTCCTTCCTTCTTCTTTTATTTTCCCCTAAGTAACTTCAGCTTTGAGAAGTGATGCATATTTCAACATCCTCTGTGAAACAGAGTGGGGATCTCTGTCTTCGTTCATGTTGATGGCTCATTGATGCTTAAACTGAGGCATAAGGGTCTGGGGTGGGGTTAACTTCCCAACTGGAGCTAAGCCCTTGAAGGTTATCCCTACATTCAGGCTGAGGGACAGCATCATAGTGGATGAAGAGGCATTGAGAAGTTTAATGCTAAAGTGTTCCTTATTTCCCCCAGACATTTCCTTTAATCTGTATTCAACTGAAATTGCCTGGTTTAAAAGTCTGGGGCTGTGTTCTGGCCTCATTCCATCACCTTCTCCTCAGATGTCCTTTTTTCTTTGTCTCCACAGCATCTTCCTGCGAGGCTTGCAGAAATGTGACACTGATGATGACGTGGCCATGTGCTTTATCAAGCATGAAGCAGAATTTAATAAGTACATCCAGTACCTGGTGGGGAGGGTACAGGCTGAGTCAATTGTTGTCAGTAAAGCTGTCCAGGACTTCTACAAGGTAAAACAGTAGTCAAATTACTGCTGAAAGTGTATCCTACAACCCACTGCATCAAGAAATGTAGTTATTAATCACAAATGTGAAATCCTAAAAAGGATTATTAAATATTTCTGTGGGAAATATTTTCTTTGCTAAATATAATAATTTTATATTTATTGTTTAGCTCTTCTTGTTTGGTATAATCAATATGGGAACATATTTACATAAACTTACGCACTTATGAATATTATAAACAGAAAGAGGGTAGATTTGGATTGGATATAAGGAAGAAAATCTTCACTATGAGGGTGGTGAGACACTGGCCCAGGTTGCCCAGGAAAGCTGTGGATGCCCCCTCCCTGGCAGTGTCCAAGGCCAGGTTGGACGGGGCTTTGAGCAGCCTGGGCCGGTGGAGGTGTCCCTGCCCATGGTAGGGGTTGAACTGAGGAGGCTTTAAGGTCCCTTCCAACACATACCGTTCTGTAATTCTATAGTTATAAAGATTATACAGATTTGAATGTGGCTGCGATTATGTAAATGTAATTGTGGGATATTTTAAGGGCCACCACATTAAAAGACCAAGTAAAATCCCGTAAAATCCCATAAAATCTCAGTAGAGATACGGAAATCCTGTTTCTCTTCTTCAGCTGCTCAGGGTTGAAGTTCATTAGGGAAAACACACAAACAACACTCCAGATCCACGAGCACATGTATGGTCGTGGATCCCTTGAGTAGCAGCACAGCTTCTCTGTTCATCCTATAGCCCTGCACAGATCCTGAGCACTTCGACTCTCTCCACGAGCCTCCTCCTCACTAGCGAGCCTGGTTTGATGATCACTAGAAAACAAACACACATGTTCACACTCACCCCACATTCACAGATCCCTCAGATTGTCAGCACAAGCTCTCAGCCTCCCTCATATCCATGTGTGGACCCTGCATCTCCTACTTGTAGCTAGTCCAGTGTGAAGTTTCCTGGTGAATTGCACAGTTGGACCCATGTGCACTTGGTTCTGCAAGCTCTGGATCACTTTTCCCCAGCGTCAGTCCTGCAATGAAAAGCAGACAAATTCAGTATTTCAGACATCTTGCAGCCTAAAATGAAAAACAGCTGATATAGCATGGAGCAGGGTTACAGGTGCCCAAAATATGGGGTAGTAAGGTCCAGTAGAGCTATCCAGTTTTGAGTGAATTATGTCTATGAACCAGCATCATATGAACCTTTTTGAGGGAGTAATGTTTTCTGTTGTTCTTTATAATAACCTTTCCTCATTCTTCTGTGTATTTTTTCAGAGATACACAGATGAAATTTTAACTCCTGAAGATCCTTCGCGGCCACTTATCCCACCACTGCAGCACTACCTGGAAAAACCCATAAACAGGATCCAGCAGTACCAGACAATAATCAAGGTGAAGAGCTTGTATACACTTGTGTCTGATATGTTTATGTTCTGCTTTGTGCAGCTTGTGTAGGAAAAGAATTTAATTTTATTTCGTATTTCTTGGCTTCCTTCTGATGCAACTACAATCAAAAGCTGCTTGAGTAAGACAGTGCTCATCACCAGTGACAGTGCTCTCTAAATAGTTTTGTAAATGTAAATCCAGACACAGGTTCACAGTCTCCAACCCCATAAAGTTCAGCAAGCTTTATCTGAGTGATCTTTGCATATATGCATCTAGATATTAAAAATATATTAAAATATATGGTTATTTACATATATATACGTGTATATATAGATATATGAATATGTGTATGTGTGTGTGTATATATATATAGATAAATATATATCTGTGTGTGTGTGTGTATATGTATATCCATGACAAGTATGAATTTCATTCACACTCAGCAACAGGTATGTTATAAAAAAAAGAAGTTTCCAATGTGTAAGGTATTGAGTTTCCACTTTATTTCCCTGTGTTTTCTACTGACATTATAGTAAGATGAAATTCCTGTTTTCTGAAAAGCTTTGCCTGATTCTACCCTCCTAAGATGTTTCAACTTTCAAGCTTTCTTCTGTCCTACAGTGTCAGGTTCTAGCCCAGACTACAAACAAACATCTCAAAGTAGCACTTAAATAGTATTTTTCATGGGAAATATCAGTGGGATAAGACAGCCAAAATATTTCTGTATTCTGGTGTTAGATAAATCAGTAGTTCAAATAGTTTGAAGAACATTAACTTTCTAATTTTGAACACGTGCCCGCACACAAACACCATTTTTAAGGGTCTTTTGTAACAGAGAGCAAGCACTTTTCATGCTTTCATTGCTAAAATAAAAAGAAACATAAACAAATGTGAAAAGATAACTGTTATTTTCTATTTTTTCAATCTAATATCAACTCATAGTGCACCATTGCCACATGAATTGCTTGCCTCATGATATCATCAGGGTAAGCACAAGAGAAATGCAAAGGATACATTTAGGATTGCTGTGGGTTTTTTTAAGTTTTCAGTCACTAAAACATATCTGGCATTTGCTTCAACTTTATCTTTGCTTAATATCAACTGATATAAGAAAAGTCAGACTAGTCAGTCATTGAGGCTGCAGAATGGGTGGGAAAGAAGAGACTTTAGTAGCTAAACAGCACATGGTGAAAGAATGAGATAAAAGTTACTTATATGAAAGAGCTGGAATAAATATTGCAAAATTCTTCATCTACCAAGGAAATGTACTTTTTTCTGACTGCCAAGTAAAATGTTCTTCATTCATCTACAGGAATTAATCCGAAACAAAGCAAGAAATAGCCAAAACTGCACTTTGCTGGAGCAGGCTTATGCCATTGTGTCTGCGCTTACCAGAAGAGCAGAAAACGACCTCCATGTCTCACTCATTGAGAATTATCCGGGCACCTTGGAAAGCCTCGGTGAACCCATCCGACAGGTAAGTCCATGGGAGTCAGAGTGCGTTCAGTTGTAAGGCTAAATTATAGTGTTGGGCATTCATCTATCCACATTTAGACATCCAAAAACACCCCAAGAGTGCTTACTTCTCCCTAATGTTGATGCTGTCAGTCTGATGCATCACCTTTAGCATTAGAGACAAGCTGCTGTGCTGTAATAAAACAGAGACACATAAGGTGACGATGTAACAGTGAACATTTCTTATCTGTACACTGAAAAATGAAGGCGAGACATCACTGTGGTAATTATTCCAGATTTATCACTAAGTGCTTTTTTTACTTTGTCCTATCAGGGCCACTTCATTGTGTGGGAAGGAGCCCCAGGAGCTAGAATGGCATGGAAAGGACACAAAAGACACGTTTTCCTCTTCAGAAACTATATTGTGATCTGCAAACCAAAGCGAGACACAAAGACAGACACCTACAGTTACATCTTCAAGAACATCATGAAGGTCTGATCATTATATCCTCACCTAGAGCACTTCTTTCATTGAGAAATGCACATTTTTATCCAGCTTCTGGTTGTCTAAATGGGACATTTCACTAATCCTTTTGAGCTATTCTGCTTCTGAAAGTTTTTGAAGCACAAGTAGAATCTACTTCTATCCCAAAATCTCTCTGTTAAACCATCAGAAGCATGGGTGGGTTTTTGCCATGCAGCAGTGAGATTACACTTAAAAGTGTCTATTCATCTCTGTTATCTCATTCAGTTAACTGGGTAAGTATGTAATATTGTTGTGAATTTGGCTGTCTGTAGTTTTTGCCAGCATTTGTAGATGTTGGGTGTTGGTAGTCTGTAGTGTTGGTATTAAATTGGAGGAAATGCTGTTTTAGTTGTGTGCTGCAGTCCCAGTGATTGTCTTTGTTGGTTATGTCCTTTCCTGACACCAATTCCTGTTTAGAAAAGAAAAATTCAGAGGATTTGACCAATTGATCTTCAGACAATTCAGGGCTTGGGTTAAAACTGCAAGAAATTGCAGAAAGAGCTTTTCCAAGGCAGTAGTTGTTCAACTGGTTGGCAAAAACCAACCAACCAACCAAATAACCCATGAAGTCCTTGAGCAAGCCCAGTCAGGGCCTTCTGAAAGTCCTTCTCTCTGTCCTCATTGATATTCATAGGCAGATTTTATTTTCCAAGAAGAAAAAGGGATTCTTTGTCTAGAGAGCGCCTGCTCTGTAATTTCTTTCTGTGTTGTCCCTAATTGTGCTGTTCCTGAGCCCAAAAGCACTGCACTATGGGGGCAGTGTGTCCCACCCTTGGGATGCCCTTTAACGCTGGACATTATTTTCCTGAAATGTAATAATTACTCACAGGAAAATGACAGTTTGATAACCAGAAAGTCAGGTACACCTGGGAAAGGATTGCAAAGTGACCCTGATTGTTCAGCCTAAGCCAAGTTGCATTGCTCATGCAGTGTGAAAAATCTTTAGAAGTGGTGTAAATTATCCGCTTTGCTGTTGGAGCATCTGATACAGCTTTAATGGGAATAGCAGAACTCGTGCCCACTGAAAAGGGTATGCATTGGCAGCAGGAGGCTTGCTGGTGTTGAATAATTGTTTCCATTTCAGACCTTGACTGAGGATGGTTCTGGTTCATGAAGGCTAGGTCCAGATCTGAACTGTCCTAAACTGGGATTTTCAGCTGTGGGAGAGGTTCTGGCTAAAATTCAGTCTTAAAAACCAGAGAATTTGTGTTGACTTCCTTGTCCTCCCTCTGTCACGTAGCTGAACAACATAGATGTGAATGACCTTGTGGAAGGGGATGACCGGGCCTTTGAGATCTGGCACGAACGGGAAGATTTGGTCCGCAAGTACCTCCTTCAGGCACGCACAGTGAACATCAAGAACTCCTGGGTGAAGGAGATCTGTGGCATACAGCAGCGGATCAGTGAGCCCATCTGGAGTGAGTATGGCCCAAGATGCCCCAAACCTAGTTTTTTTTCTTGGGTTGCCTCCCTGATTCAGTAAGAAGATTAGCAAAAGGAGAATATCCATCTAGGGTCATCTACCACCTCTTAAACTCAACTAGGGTTGGACATTTTCCTTTAATCACATCACGGACTGCTGTAAATAACAACTCACGTCACTTAACAGCATCCAGTAAGCTTTAGCTGGAATGACCATAGCATTAAGTCCTCCACTTAGGCTGGGGAAGGCATCTTTATCAGGGTGGGACAGTGGTGGTTGACTCTCTCCATTTACCATCAAGGTAGCCAAGACTGAATATCACTGAAGTGATTAAGTTACATGACAGATGTCCCACAGGACCTGTCTTGGGGTTTAGACAATAGCAGAGCAGATAAGTAACTTTTTAATTACTATTCCAAGTCTATAACCCAAGTGTGGAAAACACAGGCTGACGAGCTGAGAAGAGCTGGCTCTCCCTGGCTGTTTCAAGCGATGTGGACTGCTGCTTTTGATGGAGAATCAGAGGATGAAGTGGTTGCTCAGCTCCCTGTCTTCATATGTCTTGGTTGATAAGCAGAATATGTTGCTTTTCAACAAAATAGCCCAGAAAAAGTGTGTCACTGCAGAAGAATCACATTCTTGAAGCTTCTACAATACAAATTCCAGAGCTGGCACTAGAGATGCATTTGATTTGGTAGAGTTAGGTTATGGTTGGACTTGATGATCTTAAAGGTCTTTTCCAACCAAACGATGCTATGATTTGATCTGGCAGGGATGGCAGAAGGGTAGATGACCACAGAATTTGGTGATAAAGGTGCTTGCCCATGGCATGAGAAACACAAGTATAAAGACCCTCTGTGACTTTGTTGGGTACCAAATTCTCCACTCCAGACTCCTGGCTTACATTGCTGTATCTGGGCACATGGGTTTGCTTTGGGTTTTTGTCTTGTCATTCAAGTTGGTTCATCCTCATTGTCATTTGAGATTCCACCAGTTTTCTATCCACAGAATTTATCAGCAGGGATATTGGATCTTTATTGCCCAGGTATAAGCTATAAATGATGTCTTTTACAGCATAAGCAAGTTTAGCATCATAAAATGCCAGAACAGAATTTGTTTTAGTGTACATACACTGAAAAGAAGAAGAAAAGAAGTCTGGGCAGTTTATTTATGTGCTTTTAGTCAGGTGTTCTAATAAGAAAGACAATCAGAATAACTTTGCATAGTTTCATATGCGAGTAATAAGTTAAAATAAAAGTCCCTTAACGAATCCTATGTTTTACTGTATGGAGACCAACAGAAGACTAGTTTGGATATCAAGAGTGCATTCTATTTGGGAAATTAACTGGGACAGCTGTGTGTGTCTGAATAATGGATGCACATATTAAAATCATGGCCTAAAATACTTCCAGATCAGCAGCAAATCCCACTTTTTTATGGCTCATCTTTATAGCCAACAACAGACATTTGACAGACTGAATTTAGTCTTAGATAAGCAAAAACAGCGCATCACTTGGAAAGCCAATAGCTGCTAAAATGTCCTCTTCAGCTTTTCATTCTGAACTTCACAGATTTGCAAAAAATACATTACTTATCCTGCCTTGCCACGTCCATCCCATGGACAGAGCCCACCCCTCTCATAACTAACACATTGATTATTTGTTATATTTATTATTTATTATACTGTTGTTTCAGTACCTCCAGACTTCGAGGAAGAACTGGCGGACTGCACAGCTGAGCTGGGAGAGACGGTCAAGCTGGCTTGCAAGGTTACAGGAGCTCCCAGGCCATCTATCAGCTGGTACAAAGGTATGAGCAGCGAGTCATGAAATGCATCCTCCAAACTTGGTCTCCATCTACATTGCTTTGTGCTGATCGGTTAGTAGGTAATCTGAAAGCTGACAACTTGGAGATAACCAAGTCTAGTCTTAAAGTTAACTGCTAAACAACCCAAAATCTTCCTGTGAGTCAATACCCTGCTTTTTCAGATTTACCTATCAGCCAAGATGAATCCACACCTTGCAGCACTTTGACAGCTTCCAGGAGATGAAAAACTTGTTGGAACTAGCTCAGATGTTTCCATGTCATTGCACAGACAGCCATATGAGCAAATTCTTTTCCCCAGCATTACTGAATCGCGGAAGAAACAGCTTTGCTATAAATTCATGTCTTGTAAAGACCTGCTCTGCATCTTTAGAGTTCCTTGGGCTAGCAAATCAGAGCTATGACTGCACATCACATACGCTGGGAGAATTTCACTTTTAAATGAGGATTCATGATGTATGATGTCCCTCAACAGTGCTTTGCCCACAGGATGTTGTGCAGAGAGCTGGAGGAAGGTGAAAAGCTCATCCCTCAACCAGCAGCATCAGCTGCTAAAAAGCAAATACAGCTCTCAATCCTCTCAAGTGGAAGAGCTGGATGAAGTTCCCAAGGAGAAAACATAATTGACACTAAGCTATTTTAAAAAGACTTTTTCTCCCTTTATCTTTAAGATGGAAAGCCTGTGGAGGTGGATCCCCATCACATTATAATAGAAGATCCCGATGGTTCCTGCACATTGATCTTGGACAACTTAACAGGTGTTGACTCAGGACAGTACATGTGCTTTGCTTCCAGTCCTGCTGGAAATGCCAGTACCTTAGGAAAGATCCTCGTTCAAGGTAAAGTCACAGAATTACAGAAACATAGAATGGTTTGGGTTGGAAGAGACCTTAGGGATAATCTAGTCCTGCCCAGATGCATTTCAAAGGGTTCTGCTATGTAGTGCTTTAAACATGAATATTAAATTATTCTAGAAGTTCTGTATAACATCTATTGGATAATACTTGAAAAAAAAATTGCTATACGGGTGTAGTCAATTGTTCCTAGGTCAAATAAAATGGTCTTTAGTGTCTTGTGTGCAGATATGATGAGAATTATCTGGCCAGGGGCACAGATCTGGTTGTATTTCCAGCTACTAGTTATGTTCATCTTTGCTTTGCAGTGCCCCCGCGGTTTGTGAACAAGGTTAGAAATGCTTATTTTGTGGAGGGCGAAGATGCTCAGTTTACCTGCACTATCGAAGGAGCACCTAGGCCTCAAATCAGGTCAGTTCTTCACACTGGAACAAATCCTATTTTCCCGTTTTGCATGGTTAGAAGAGTCTCCTGCCCTTTTTTTCAAGGTTATGACCCTTTCTTCTTTGTGTCTCCCACCTTAACCCCATCCCAATGCCATCTTTCCCTGATCTCAGCATTCCTGAGATTCTCAGCAATTTATTCTAGCTGGCATCTTAAAAGAAATACATACAGGCAGTCCCTGACATAAGACTATCAGATCTAATGGCCTGGCAACAATACATCAATCCTTTACCTTCCCTGCCCTGCACATAAATTGATTTTATCAGCAAAAACTCCGGGGTATTCAGACAAAAAGCTCAACATTGCTTATCATGATTGGAAGCACTTTTTCCTGCATTGGCAGATGAGATTTTTTGAGAAGAATCTCATAAACCTGTGCAGTTCAGTATCCACGTGTGATCTACCTGTAGACCTATCCTCCTGGTTCCAAACCTTCATCTGATGATTTACTCTTGACTTGTTTGTCCACTGGTCTGACAGATGGATCAGCAAGCTGGGGACTTCTTGACAATGCATAATTTTCCCTGACTTATATTCAGTGTTTCCCACATGCAGATGGTACAAAGACGGTGTACTGCTGAAGGACACAAGTAAATACCAGACGTTCAGTGAACCACGGAGTGGTATAATAGTCCTGGTGGTCAAGAACCCTTCCAATGAAGATATGGGACACTATGAATGTGAGGTAAGTTTGGGAAGGTTTAAAGATCTGTCTGAGATTATACAGGCAGGGTTTTACTTCATTTTACTGGAAGAGATCCATTGCATGAGAACAGTGGCCGAATAATTGCTGCCATATCAAAAAAGTTTCTACAAGTCAAGTTCTCCTGAATTAGATTTGGATTGTGAGCATCCAAAAGCTTCAGAGCATTCTGATCTGAGAGTTTGATGGTTCAAATAATAATTGAATTAACTTATTCTGTAGCTTAAATTCACATCCAGGTCACTAGAGGTACCTCTTACAAAGTTTAGGATCGTTCTGACATGGCATTTAGTTTGTGAACCATCTTTAAATTAGAACAGATTCCTACCACTACAAAGAAACCATCCAAAGCCAAGAGAAAGAAATTAAATCTAAATGGAAGTGTAACTCACTGAAATTCCTGTTTATTTAGCAAGCATATGGGGAAGTATCTAATAAATTAAAATAAATGTGCTGTAAAATATTTTCTAAAAATTAGTCTTAGTCTATGCATTCATTGCAATAAAATAATAACAAGCTCTCAGGGGTCAGCAATAACAATAGACATTTTTAGGAAGTTTGATGTAATTTAAAGACTTTTACACTAGAATTCTAGCAAAATCACACTACTTTGCATTTGCCATTAGCTAAGATCCCAAGGTCTAGAACTCCCTTGGCTGAGTCAGACTCAGTTGATTAACAGATGGTAAACAAAAAAGACCTGTTTAATTACCACTTAAATGTCATACAGCAGGAATCTGTGCCTGTTGGTAGAGACGGAGCTACCCCAGGACCAAGTCACAGGCTGCAGAGCAAAGGACAAGTAACTAAGTTAGCTGCTGTGCTAAGTTAACTAAGTTAACTTGTCTGTGTGAGTCATTTGTGGTAAAGCCATGAACTTGAAATTTGCCATGAACTCCACTGAGCAGCAATGCATTCGTTTAAACTCTAGCTTTGGTTTGTGGTCACATCTTCATCCATTTCTCTTGTCGTGCCATTGCAATGAATTTGTAATGTAGTATAGGGTGGTTTTATTATACAAAAGCATCCCACATTTCATTCGGTACTGCATGATTCTCTTTAGCTGGTGAACAGATTAGGGTCTGCAAAAAGTGGAGCAGAACTTTACCACCATAGTGCTGCAGCCCTGACCCAGGAGAGGAGAGGAGACCAAGCCATTACCATAGAAGGTACGATCCTTGACCAGCTCTGTAAGTATGGCAGTGAATTACTCTAAAACCATCTCGTTGAGGCTCGGATATATTTGCCATCTTATCCATGTTGATTGTTGGTGTACACGTATCTGTATGTCTATGGAGATGTGCATGGGTGTACTGCGGCTCAGCTCTATACCCATCACCATCTGTTGATTTCCAAACCTGGCAAATCAACTTCATCATATAATGTTCCTAAATGCATTATATGAAAAAGGAGGAGCAAATGAAGGGTATGTCACACCACCACTAGTGCAATAAAAAGGTTTCTGTTCCTACTGGAATATTTGAAAATGTGTCAGCCTGGCAGATCATGAGTTACTTACTGCTGAGAAAAAACAGGGGCCAGTAAGCAAAGCCACAGGCATATTGAGATAGTTTCTGAAATACCACTGAAGACCATCTGGAATGACTGAGAAAGAGAACTGACAGCAGTATGTCCTCAGCAATAGCAGTTCATCCAGTATCTAGGACTGTTCAGGCGTTACACACCACATAGACTCTATTCCTTCTCTTCCTGTGTGTTTCACCTGATTTGGTAGGGTGACATGGGCTGGTTTTTACCCACATCTCTTTCTTAACACAGTTAGGATGTGACTGTGAATAGTTACCTTCTTACCAAAGGGATTTCCACAAGCAGTGTGTTAGAGATGTTTGCTATAGACCCACCACAACTGAATTTAGATTAGTGGTGACATCTGCGTGAGGAACATTTCCTGGCATAGAAAATTGGTTCTTCGTGTGTCTTGGAAGTAACCTTGGGTAGCTGAGCATGTTCAGGAGACAAAGCAGCCAAAGGACGATCTATAATAGATAGGTGACTGTTTTGGAGGTGAGAGAGACGACTATGATAGCTGTAGGCTATTCCATGACAGTGGACCTTGGTGTCCCAGGTGTGCTTAGTGGAGACATGGCCAATAAGGCCAGAGGTTTTCCAACAGCTGGAGGACCTCAATGTTCTCACATTATCTTGTGGTAATAACAGCGGTTCAAGTGTGCTTTTGACAATTTAATAACAACATTGACTTAGAGCCATCAGATACAAAGGAATTCTAAGCCAAATTACTGGAGTCTTGAAAAATATTCAGGGAAAATTGTACTCCATTCATTGGATGGTGGTAGTGTAGCAACACATAAT